CCTCTCCCTTGTCTCCATGAGTGAAGGCAGCACCAAAGCTGTGAAGAACAGTGAAAAGAAACGCAGTTTATGATCACGACGTTGCCTTCTTCCTCCAGGCAAAGCTCACGGATTTCAAATTAACCTGATTTCCTTTTGTGATCAACTCATTCTAATTAAGCAAGTGAATTAAGCATGTGAGCATCAGGGTTAGCCAGTTTACAGAGAGTGTTTATTAAGGGGCCACACCTCCAAGCAACCATGTTCACAATCAAGACGGGTCAACACCTGCTCTTTTCAATTCAGAGGCTCTGACACAAACCCGTAGAGTCCAGCGGTCTGTTTACCACATACTCTGTATTTGTAAGCTAATAATAAGATCAAATGTATACAAGTGATGCCATTTTATAATTAATGCTCAAAATAGTTTAAAAAACAGAGCTCAAGTTACTTTGGAATCATCAGTATCCATCTACAGACTCAGTGCTGATGACGTTCTCAGCATTGATTTTAGTTCTGAGCATGTAATATGACGCAGAAAACAGGTTTTGAACTAGTGTTCAGTCTCACAATTTTTCAAATGTGGGAAGAGTAAATACTAAGAACCTCTTCTTAAGTGTTGCATTTTCTATCTTTGATTACTTAAAATATTTTTAGATGAACATTTACATGAACTATTGTGTGACAAACTGCGGCTACAAATCTAGAGGTGTTTGTCATCAGCCTGGTGTTCACGTGTCAAATTTGTTGTCTTGAGTTATAGTCAAAACCTGAATCAATATGTCTCTCTCTCTCTCTCTCTCTCTCTCTCTCTCTCTCTCTCTCTCTCACACACACACACACACACACACACACACACACACACACCTAATAACAAAAGCTTTTAATACTGGCTCTGAGAGATAGCACAAAATGTTTAACTCTAAGCAAAACATCACCTCTGGGCCTGTGTGCGCTGAGAGCAAAGACATTGGGACAACAACCAGCACTCAACACTGGTCCCACATCAGTCTTGCTCCAAGTCCAACTCCACTCCTGACGTTTGGAGGAAGTGATCATCTCCCCACGTGTTCGTGATACAGCATCTGCCCCAGAGGGACTGATGCACTGCAATTTGAATCAACATTAAAAGAGTCAATAGACCTTGGAAGGTTTGAAGATGTAGTTAGAATTAGACTGATTTTCCGTCTGTGATTATTATAAATGACCAAATATGCAGAAGGCCCTGAGGCTTTGAGAGACTTTTTTTTATTTTGAAAGTCTAATTTATTATAAGTGTATCATGAAACATCTTAAATAGGAGGCATATTGCAAAAACTGCTTCATGGAAGACTGGATGTCTAAAAATCTGAACTTAGATGGTAGTTAATACATGGATGAAATACAGCATTTTACATTTAAGTAATTTTGAGAATCCTCGCTTTTCCTCATCAGCTAGACTTAGCTGAAGAAAAGCCCAGAATGTCATCTTCTCATTTAGTAGCAGGGAAAGGAAGAAGACTGCTCTTGCTGAACAGTGAAGATGTGAGGGCCTAAAGTCAATGTCTTCTTTAAGAAAAATGAGAAGACAAAAAAGAAATGAAAGTTAGTATTTATCAAATGTCAGAACAAGAACAAGTCACTGGGGTAAATGCTAATAAAATAAGCCTTACAAAACTTGGAATATGATATTATTGTGTGACCCAGTTCTGTTCTTTTTCCCATATTTTTTATGGCACTGCATTTGACTGCCTACCAAATTATGATAATTTTGTGATATAATTTTTCTATGAGGAGAATAGAAAATTTGTTCTAGCTTTTAGCATGACTGATCTCATTTGAGTTACTGAGAGTTCAGAAAAGCTTTTCAGTAGGAAAAATGTATTATTGCTAATGGCTGGGTCACTTTTCCGTTGTTAATCTAAAGCTTTATGAATTTCTGTAGCACACAGCCCGAACCAAGTCCTTTTGAAAGCTATTGTACAGAGAGTTTTTGTTAGGATGCCACACCTCCACGCGAGCAAGACCGGTCAACACCTGGTCCTCTGACAACACACACTTGCAGTCAAGACAAGCAGGATTTGGGGGCCTCTGGTCCTGCATCACTTGTGCGCAGTGTGCAAGCAGGAAAGTGCTCGGGAAGCCATTGCTGTGCTAGAATACTGCAAGATCCTGACTCCACATGGACGCAACGATGACTCATCTGAATAATCCTAGTCGAGTTACCCTAAAGCAGCTTCTGCTAGCTCAGTTCCAGAAATAGCCAGCAGCCATGAAAAGTCCACACGAGACTACACATTATGAATGAAGAAGCCGGGAAGTGGAGAATATAACAGTTGGAACCCTTTGCAGTTAACACGTTTTACTTAGTGAACTTAAAGAAGAAAGCATGTGATGGTGTCAGTGACTGCCAGGGCCCCTCGGAGAATCTCAAAGCATCATTTCCAGCAAGCAGTCCCCAAAGTGAAACTTTTCAGCTTAGAACCGAGTCTGTTTCTGCTGGCAGCTCATGGTAGTTGGTGCAAAGTGGATACGTGAAAGTTGCCCAGAACGAATCAGTGAATGAAAGGCACTCCTCTGTGGTAGGTGCTGAGAAGAGGCTCAGTTGGTAACCTCCAGGCTGTGAGAGCATGAGGACTCCAGTTCAAGCCCCCAAAACATAACACTCTGGCTGGTGTGGCGCACATCTGTAATCCCGGTACTGGATGCTGGAGTGGGGTGGAGACAGGCAGGTCCCTCAGAGTTGGCAGCCAGTTACCATACCCTAAGCAAGCTCCAGATTCCAGGGAGAGAGTTGTAGTGGGAGGCTGCTTGTTCGTTTCCTGGCCCCCAGACTCCTGAAATAACCACACAGAAGCTATATTATTTAAATCACTGCTTGGTCTATTTGCTCTAGCTTCTTATTGGCTAACTCCTACATTAATATAACCCATTTCAATTAATCTGTATATTGCCACGTGGCAGTGGCTTACCGGCAAAGATTTGGCATGCTTGACTTTGGCGGAGGCTTCTTAACATCTCTCTGACTCTGCCCTTCTTTCTCCCAGCATTTAGTTTAGTTTTCCCAGCCTAGCTAAGTTCTGCCTTGCTACAGGCCAAAGCAGTTTCTTTATTCATTAACGAATAAAAGCAACACATGGACAGAAGGTCTTTCTACATCCAAAAAAGCAAAGTAGAAGGCTCTTGAGAATCAACAATTACAATTGACTTTTAACCTCCACATGAATATGCATGCAAATGTACACACACACACACACACACATGCACCTCACACAAAGCCAACAATATTCCCGATGTTTACGTGATCTTTTTTTTTTAAAAAAGTCCTTAAAATTTTTTTTTTAGTTAATCATGAGACTTCATTAAAATGCACACAGCATATTTTTTGATTGGCTGAGAAAAGAAAACACACACACACACACACACTCATTTGAAGATCAGTTTTTCTCTAAGTGAGATGTCATTGGTCCACATGTGGTATCTTAGGTCTCTGATCCCGGACTCGGGAGGTGAAGCAAGGGCATTGCTGTGAGTTCTAGACCAACCTGGGCTACATAGTGAGTAGCACTAGGCCAGCAGTGTTAAATAATGAGACTGACTCTGTCTTGAAAGATGGGGGGTGGGGAGCAGTGAGGAAGGGAGGGAGAAACAGAAGAGATGACTAACACTTGGATGCCCCCTGTTTGACTATATTATTGGCTACATGGATGGCCCCGTTGAACTAAAATTTTTTCAATTCTCTGGCCGCCCATTTCCCGCTGTGTTGCTATTCCCAATCTGTAAAATGAAGACTAAGTCAGTGTGAGATGATTAAGAAGGTTGCTGACAAAAACCCTCTCTGTGTCTGCCTTTGCAGCAGAATAGGCAAGCCATGCCTCATCAGGAAAGTGCAGATATGTCTCAGGATTAGAAAATGAAATTAAGATTTTTTTATTTCTTGAACTTCGTTCAGCTGGTGAAATGAGCATTGTTGGTTAAACTGTTAGGGTTAACAGATTTAAAGTGGAGCAGAGAACACCTCAGTGAGGACAAAAAGTTGTAGTCTGTCGAGGAGGCAGGCAGTTAAATGAAATTGATTTGTTTTTACATGAACCGTCAGGTAGGTACACTGGTTGTCCTTTGGTGGCCTACGGGTTCATGGACAACAGTGCGTGAGACAATTCGGATCGACTCCGACACTAAATGCTTGTGAACATTGTGTCCAACTAGAAACTAATTATGTAACTTCAGACCATCGGCTTGCAAGCAGTCCAGAGAAATTCTTAGCAGTGGTTATGAGCAGCAACTCTTCGGGTTGTTTATTGGTCAGAGGAACTCAGCATGCTCCTCCTTAGAGTGATGTGTGATTGATCGTATAGCCTGGCCTTGACAGGGTCTTTTTCATATTATAAATGGTTCTTTTAAATCCCCCTCTTCATCTTAGACAATCAGTAAAATCCACCAAATGTATTGGGATTCTGTACCACTGTCTCATAACTAAGGATGAGTCACATTTCCTCATGTATGAGAGCACCCACATTGTTACTTGGTGTTTCTTAGGGTCGTTAGTAAAGTCCTGGACAGATCTAGAGAAGTTTCTTGCCAGTTAATCCCATCCCTGAAGAGTCTGAAGAGGTGATCATGAGTTTGGTGTCACTCTGTGCTGTCATAAGACTGTGTTTCTGAAAACCCAAACCAAAATCTATTAACTGCCAATATTTAAAAGAAGATAAATTAAACACTATTTATTCTAAATAATATGTATTATTAATAATATTATTAAATTTTTACTATAAATACAGTTATTCAATTTTCTATGGTAAAGTTCTTTTTTATACATAGTTCACAATAGATTCATTTTATATTTAAATTTTTTAACCTATATCCCCAGTAATGTATGTGCCTCTGTGGCCTCCTTTTAAATAGGAACTCCATACAGAGGAGTCAATATTGGATTCCGAGTAACTTTGCATTTGGCTGGTTTCTGATGACACTGGTAGCTCCGGTTTCTCTAGGAATGGCTCAGTGGGTCTGATCATGACTTCTACTACCTTGTCCCACAGGTGCACGCTGAGTGTGACGCTGGAGCAGGCCATCACTCTAGCCAGAAGCCACGGGCTGCCTCCACGATATATTATGCAGGCTACTGATGTGATGAGAAAACAGGTAAGTTCCCCTCTCCTGCCTGCCTTAGGGAGTTGTTTGCCAGGACCTGGTTTGCCTTGGTTCATTTATCAGGTGTCTTATGGGTGTCTGTGTGACGAACACTTTTCTAGGCACTCGACTCTGCATAAGTCATGACTGGGAAGAATGACCAATGAGAAAATAGTACAGACACCTAGTCAAGTGTGGACACTTTCGAAAAGGATTTCTGTGCTGTGTCACCTAGAAGAAAAAAGGGAAATGGTCACATGAAACAAGAGTGGACTGGGCTTTTAGCAGTATCAAAATAAAGGATGTGTGGCACTTCTAGAAATTGAGGGCAATTTAATAAGCCTGGGAAACAGTTCAGGAGGGGCCAAAGAAGAGGAGTAATTGTGAGGGCCCCACTAGTTTCTGCGATCTCCCCAAGCCTTCCATTCCATGATAGGATGTGTCCATCTTCCTAAGGATAAAGTCCTCACCTCAGAGTTTTCACTTAAGCCAGATATGAACCTTTCAGCTGTCTTCCCATCACTAGAGGCTATACTACTTTCTCTGTGTGTTCTCTTTTAAATAGAATAATTTCCTAAACTGTAACCCAACAGCATTTGAAGAACCAAGGTAACTTGGTCTTAAATTGTTTAAATTCTTTTTAAAACGCACTGGCTTCCATTGTTCTGATTAGAAATAAACTTAAAGCAAAGAAAGTCAGCCTACAAACCACAATTGCAGAGAACTTAGACAACAATATGGACACTAAGAGAGACTTACATAGGTATAATCTACATGGGAAGTAGAAAGTATAAAAAGAGAAGATCTCCTGAGTAAATTGGGAGCATGGGGACCTTGGGGGAGGGTTGAAGGGGAGAGGGGAGAGTCAGGGAGGGGAGCAGAGAAAAATGTAGAGCTCAATAAATAGCATGGAAAAAATAAATAAATAAAATAAATTTTTTTAAAAAGAAAATAGAATTGAGCTAGTACAAAAGACATTTAAGCAGTGATAAGAAAAATGAAAGTCATAAATTTTATATATTTTCTGTCACAGTCCTTTGGCCTGCTGCAGCAAAATCTGACTTGCCCTGAGTTATTCAGCGACTGTGACTTCATTAGATATGATTTTGTAATTATAACCAGTTTATTCACTAAAACATTACTTAGGCAAACATAAGCATTGTCAACCTCCCTAAGAATTGTTCCCAAGATTTTACTATGCAAGGTCAAGCTAGCCAGTGAAAAAATAGATGGAAGAAGTCAACAGGGAGCTAGCTTCTGCAATGCCCATTGCAGCCCCAGTGAGTGGGCATGCCTTGACTCTGCTGCTTTTGGAATCCTGGTGTAGAAATGGACTGAGTGGAACTTAGAAGGTCATGCAGGGACTGGTAAAGTTTAGACCCACCAGAAGAATGCTACATTTGTAAACTGCCATATGATTTAAGAAGGACTTGGGGAAGTAGATGCACAAATTCTGCTTTAAAAAACAAATCAAGACAAGCTTGTAAATTGTCACATCAGAGGTGGGATTTAGGTTAGAAAACAGAGCAAAAAGGTAGATGAGGTCTTCTTTGTTTTTTCTGTGTTATGCTCAGATTATATACATGGGGAGCTTTGGTAAAGCTACCTCACAATTATGTCTTACAAGGAGAAGGAACTAGAGTGACCCTCTAGCAATCACTCCACTACAGAGTTATTCTGAGATGATTCCACATGCATTCCTACCTATGGGTCTGAGTAACCATAAACCTCTGTACTATCTTTAATCATTAAAATGAAAATGGACATAAAGAAACCTCTGTAATGGCTTCAATCATTAGAACAAAAATGGACATAGAGAAACTAGAGATAAAGAGAAGTTAATATACACATGTCCGATTTCACTGCTACCAAGTTCCTTCCAAGCATGGTATGCATCTGTAGTATTGATATTGGATGTGTAAAATAGAATCAGAAAGATTGAGAAGTCAGGCAGATTCCAAGTCAGGCATATTTTATCACTCTTTTATTCTCTCTCTTTTTTATAACTGGGTTGAGAATAGGTAGCTTTCTTCCTTTGAGGCTGGTCCCTTAGCTCTAAGCTGTATAACCTACAGGATAGAGAGAGCTGGAAGACACAGTGTATTGCACAGGGCAGAGAGAAGTGAAGACCTGATTATTTCTCCCTGTGAAAGATTGCAGAGCCTCAGGCCCTCTCTTTGGGAATCAGACTGGTAGCCTGATGTCCAACGGTTCAGCCTGCCGTGCTCCTGTAAGGGAGCATCTTTCTTCAGGCACTGGGCATTGGCAGGTGGTGAGAGATAGGTGGCTGGTGCCCACTCCTCCCACATGCTTTCCAAGAGGCGACAGTGCAAGTCTGTTCAGTAGCCTGGTGTGGCTCTTCCTCTTTCTCCCTTTGAACTGGAAAGTTTAGCCATTTAAACTTGACCCTGGAAAGCATGGTTCTTAAACATTTTTCATCCTTACTAAGTTTTGAGTATTAGAACTATTTTGTTACTGAATCTTGTTGTGGTGGCTGTTTATTGGGTTATTGAGACAGAGTCTTATTTTGAAGGCTTGCCTAGCCTAACTTGTTAGCAGACTTAGTGTCTCAGTTTCCCAAAGTGCTATTTTTAATTATTATTAAAAATTTCTGCCTCCTCCCCGCCTCCGCCTCCCATTTCCCTCCCCCTACCCTGCTCCCCTCCTCCTCCATTTCCTGCCCTAAGAGCAGTCAGGGTTCCCTGCCCTGTGGGAAGTCCAAGGTCCTCCCCCCTCCCTCCAGGTCTAGGAAGGTGGGCACCAAAACAGCCTAGGCTCCCACAAAGCCAATACATTCAGTAGGATCAAAACCCAGTGCCCTTGTTCTTGGCTTCTCAGCAGCCCTCATTGTCCACCATGTTCAGAGAGTCCGGTTTTATCTCATGCTTTTTTGACCCAGTCCAGCTGGCCTTGGTGAGTTCCCAATAGATCATCCCCATTGTCTCAGTATGTGGGTGCACCCCTCGCAGTCCTAACTTCCTTGCTCATGTTCTCCCTCCTTCTGCTCCTCATTTGGACCATGGAAGCACAGTCCGGTGCTCCAATGTGGGTCTCTGTCTCTATCTTCTTCCATCACCAGATGAAGGTTCTGTGATGATATGCAAGATATTCGTCAGTATTGCTATAGGGTAGGGCCATTTCAGGCTCCCTCTCCTCAACTGCCCAAGGAACTAGCTGGGGACATCTCCCTGGACACCTGAGAACCCTTCTAGGGTCAAGTCTCTTGCCAACTCTAAAATTGGCTCCCTTAATTAAGATATATACTTCCCTGCTCCCATATCCACCCTTCCTTTATCCCAACCATCCCATTCTTCCAAGCTTCCCCATCCTCGCCTTCTCACTTTTCTCTCCCCATTTCCCCTTACTCCCATCCCACTTCACCCCCAAGTTCCCAATTTTTGCCCGGCAATCTTGTCTACTTCCAACATCCAGGAGGATGACTATATGTTTTCTTTGGGTTCACCTTCTTATTTAGCTTCTCTAGGATCACAAATTATAGGCTCTATTACAAATTTCTGTTCTTTAATCCCTTCTTGAATGTTTTTTGTGTTGTTCACCTTTCCAGATTTGATTTCATTTCTTAGTTTTATTTTGAGAGAGTCTATCCATTGGGTTTTTCTTCCTTTTTCCTCAACTTTATTTAGGTTAGTATTGGGTGTGCAGTGGGTACTTGGAGCATTTCAGGGTTTTGTTTTGGTTTAGCAGCTCTCCTTTCCTGTGCCCAACAGCAAATGGTCATAGTTGAGTCAATGTAACTAGCTTCCATTAGGAACCAAATAGTGGTTGAAACTCCATTCATGAAACAGACAGGTTACACGGTCCCTTTTATTTCTGAAGAATATTGTATTTATACCACCAACTTTGAGTCAAAACTCTTAGATGTCATAAATCTACATTCATATGGCTTGTGTAGAAATTCTTTAGACTATTTAGATGCTTTCTTGTGAAACATTATTACACTTGAAATAACTGTCCATCTAAAGAGATGTAGGTATGACTCCTGTGCTAACATGTGTTTATAGCATGGTTCTGTTCTGTTCTCAATGTTTTAAGTGATTAATTGCTTTAACAAAACCCTGAAATGCTCCAAGTACCTACTGCACACCCAATACTACCCTAAAGACAAAGACAGAAGGTGTACGAATAAATGGAAATTGGTTAAACTCACTTTTGAATGAACCCAAGGCTATAGGATGAATAATAAGTATTTAGAACCATATAGTTGAACTCATAGAAGCATACACAGAGAATGCTTTTGAAATTTTGAAAGCATCCATATAGTGGTTTTTGTTGCATTCCTTTTTAGTGTCCTTTCATGTTAAATAGTGTTGTAATAATGCCTCAGCTAGGTTTATTTGAATTAACTCAGATTGAGCCTAAAGTATTTCTCCGACTTTCAGGGTGCAAGAGTTCAGAACACAGCAAAGAACTTGGGGGTTAGAGACCGGACTCCACAATCAGCTCCAAGGTAAGGGTAACCACATCTACCCCTTACCTAAGGGCTTGCTGGCCTCTGGCAGTGTCAATCATGACATGCTTAGCTCATGCTCAGTGTCATACTGACACCAGTAGTAACAAGTTCAATGGGTGAATCCAGTGGGGAAGGTTGACAAGGGAACAATGAATGCTCTCAGACATAAACAGACTTTTTTTTTTTATTTTGAACACAAATTTAGAAAGAAGAGTCTAAGCAAATACAACTCAAAATGCAACTCATATGTGCCAAATGCCAGTCTGCCCCTTCCATTGCCCCCTCTGTGATCGGCATGCCCTTCCCCCACCATGATTTGAAACCTGTTTAACTCAGAAAGCCCATGTCATTCCTGCTTTGAGTTTTGCCTGAGTTGCTCTTTCTGTAAGGCTTCCTGGTGTCCTGGTATCACATTGTAATGCTCCTTTTTTGTTATGTTACCATAATTATTAGAGGTTCTCTGCCCAACTCAAATCTGAGCTCTCGGAAGACAGAGAATGTTCTTTCATTTTATCAGTGACTACATAAGACATCAAATATCTAAATGTATTTCAAGGTCATGTGACAGAATCAATGAATCAATGAGCTTTTTGTAGAGTCTATCATATTCATGGTTCGCCAGTTATCATATGAAAGGACTCTGACTTACCTTTAAAGTAGATGAACATAGAGAAATTCTTTCCATTTGATTTCCCATGCTTGGGGTAAGCAATCATCTATTTTAAAGTTGAGCAATGTTAAATAATTACTCCTACATTTGATCATTCTTACAGGTTTGCATCTTAACAAACAGTAGACATCTCCAAGCCTGACTTTGGTAAAATGTTCTTTGTTGATGTTCAGAACACCTTATCGGAGAGTGGTAATTACAGCCATTTATGAAATTATACCCCATTTTGAAACTACTTGGGCAGTAAGAGTGCTTTCAAAAGGGTAAACATATTTTCCCCCCAAAAAAACTGGTGGGGTTATCATGTTCTAGCTGCATTTATTTTAGTGCTGATTGCCAGCTCTACATGATCCTCCAGTCCTGTCAATGTTATCCTTCAGAGCTGATTAGATGAGAGTCTTAAGGGTTTTCTATCACTAATGGATCATTTCACACGAGTGTCTCTCTAGGACCATGAGCAGACATGGCATATTGTGTAATAGACCCACTGCAGTGTTAAAATGCCAATAAGAAAACAAGATAATAACTTTGCAAGGTATTTTCAGCTAGAGCCTTAAACAATAATAAACAGCGGGGTTGGGATAAGGTTTCAGCGCTCTGATCAATAAACCAATATCCCAGCTGAGCACAAGAAAACAAACTGATGAACTCAAGCCTTTTTCTATTGGATTATCTTTAAAACACTTGAGATGAAACATAATAAAATGATCCAGCTATAAAATGGACACGTTGTACAAGGGAATAACAGCCTTAAGAGAGAAATAAAAATCATTTCAAATTCTTATTTACTGTTCCACGCATTCTGCAGATTTTTATTAGGGAAAGACGGTGTGTGTTACTGTTGCCCCAAGGAAGATAGTAGCCCAATACAAAAGTGCCTATGGTCCTGAAAGAGCTTCCACTTAAAGAAATGAAATGTGTGGTTGGGGACATAACTCAGTGGTGGAGCACTAGCATCTTTGCTTGGAATGCACAAGAGCCAGGATTGGATTCTCAGTAAGGAAGAGACAGGTAAAGGGGGAGGGAGAGGGGAGGAACAAGAGAGAGAGGAGAAGACAGAAGAGGAAAAGAGTGGAGGAGAGGAAGGAGAGGAGGGGAGGGGAGGGGAGAAGAGAGGAGAGGAGGGGAAAGGATAAGAGAAAAGGGGAGAGAAGAGGGGGAGGGAGAGGAGGGAGCAGGCAAGCCACAGTGAGAATACAGAATGCCTCGGATCACTGAGGCCTCGGATCCCTCCTGACAGGAACCAGCACTTTCCTCAAAGACAGTTAGCTGGAGGACACACTTGGTTCTCAGGGCCAAACTGCCCACTGGCAAAGCTGGCAAAATATTTCTAGAAAGTTCATTCTTAGTGGTCTAGTGAGCTATCTCTGCCTGAGATTTTATTTGGCTCAAATCTCCCAACTGACTTCCATCATTGTATCCCTAAAATCCACTTTCTTTCTATATTATTATTATTATTATTTCATTATTATTATCACTCAGCAAACATATACTGACATCTATAGATTTTCTGTTTTGTGTTTGGGAGGGGCAGGCCTTTTGGTTAAAGCAAGATGAGAAGATTCCTCAACCCCTGTCACTAATGGGTGATGAAGAGTGTGGCTGGAAACGTAGGCAGAAGCCAGACAGGGAGATACCTACAGGAATAAGGAAGATTTTTCATTTGAACTTGAAAAAAAAAAAACCACAGTGGCATTCCTCACCTTCATGTGTGGAAAATTGGAATCTTAGGGCCTTCTCAGGTGACAATGGGGTGGTCCATCGGAGGACATCTAGGACCAGAGACATGTTTGAAAAGATAGCAAGAAGAACCAAAATGAAAAGACAGACACTTGGAGGCATAATTGATAGCCTTTGGATGAAAACTGGAGAGGAATTAGTGAGAAAGAACATTCTAGAATGACCATAAGACATTCTATCTGGATAAAAGCAGTTAGTAGTCTCTGCCCTGGAACAGTGAATGCAGAGGGAAAGAATATGCACTGGACAAAGATGGTTATCTCAGCTTGGTCACACTGAGATGTGGGCTGCTCAGTCTACAGGTCTGTCGTTAAGGCAGACCTACCGTCCTGTGAGTCCCGGGTCAGTGAAGACCTGAGTGTTACTACCTGGTACTAGGGAAGGCTACAAATACCACGGGATGACACTGAGTGTGAAGAGCAGCAGAGGAACAGGATGGAGGATGAGCAGTCTGCGAAGCTGAAGGGCTGAAGGTAAACAGGGCAGGAGTTCTAGAATTCACAAAGGAGGAAGTAGCCATAGTCACCACACAGGAAGAATGGACATCCTGATTCAGGGAATCAGTATGTTACATCACCAACCAAGTACTGAAGTTTAATTGTTTTAGATAGATTGGTCCTGGTATGTAGTTTCCTGAACATCATTGCCACTCTGCTTCAGCGCTGTATGTCTGAGATATGTCAGGAATGGCTTTTGAGAGTAAGATGTCAACACACATGTAAGTGTGCTCAAGGAGCTCCAACCTAGCAGTACATAGGGACATAGACAAAGCTACACATACATGTGTGCATGTGTGCACACATGGCCTTGTGTGTGTGTGTGTGCCTGTGTGCCTGTGTGAGTGTGCACATGCAAACATGTGTACATGTGCATACTTGTATGCATTTGTGCATATGTGTGTGTGTGTGTGTGTGTGTTAGGCAACACTGATATGAGGAGGGCTTGGAGAAAGTTCTACCTAGCTCTGGCTTTCCTTTGTGCCTTATGTTAGTGTGGTAGTAACCAAGAACAAATGTCAGAGAACCATGTGAGGCATGGTGGTCTTATTTCTGTTATATTGTAAACCTGAAACCACTGTGCCATGAGAGTTTGACTTGTTTTGTGTAATTTAGGGGCAGCACATATCGATGTTTGAAAGAGAGAGGGTAAAACAAGTCCCAAGTCCCAACTCTTGTTCTCCACAGAACCTTCTGTAGTAAGGTGTGTGTGTGTGTGTTTCTCTGAGATTCCAATTTCTCATCTGTCCCAAGGGAGAATTGCTGAGACACAGTTTATTTTAACTATGGAAGAAGTCCTCTAGTCCCCATTAGAACATGTAGGAAGGTAAGGTATGGTGTAGACAGTAAACTTTGGGGACGCTGCTTGATGCAGCAATATAAGCCCAACAAGGAAGAAGAGCCAGGACAGCCCTCATTCATGTGGAGCCCTAGTGCTCATGTGTAGGATAAGAGCTTCGCATGTAGGGTCAGCAAAAGCCCCCCCCCCACTGTCCCAATATTTAGCTTCCCTAAGCAGAAGCCACAGTTGCAGCATTAGAATCCAACTCTTTACCTATTACACTTCACCTCCCAAATTCATCTGCCTGGACTACACTGCCCAAGCCGTACAGTTTCCATTACAAGTGTGTCTGAACTCAGATAACCCAGAGTCACTTCCAAGAAGCCTCACAGCAGCTGAAGCTTCCCAGCTCTGCAGTAGAAAGAGCTATTATTGCATTTGGTGACTTCAGGGAATAGCCTTTGCTCCAATTTGCAAGGCAGACGTTTCAAAGACTCATCTCTCAGCTAGAATTGGTCGTATTGGGCACAACCATGCAGAGCGAGGTAATAGAATGTGATAGGTAGGACATTCTCCACCAGCCCTCCCATCCCTGTTCTTCCTGCTCTCAGGCCTCTGTACTTTGCCACTATGGAAACAGGAAGGGTAAAAATTGAGAAAGAAAAGAACCTTCTGATTGTTCTGTTTCCCCAGTCCCAGGAGGCAGTTTGAAGCAGCATCTTGTACTCCAGCTGCAGAAGAATCTTCAAACTACATCAGTTCAATTTAATGTGTTCTTTTCTCTGGGAAGACAAAACAAGCTTTTTAGCTTTCTCCTCCTCTGTGGAGACAACCTATAAGCCACCTTTTAGGCATGAAGTGCTTTGTGCAAACCTCCAAAGACAGTAACTTCTGGCTCCCAGACTAACAAAGTTCATTTTATTAACCATACTTGCAATTTGCTATTAAATCATTCTCATTTCTCTCCACTGATTTAGAATTAGCATGGTTTTATATGTCACAGGGAGAGGAAATTTATAGTTTGCTGAAGTGACTAACAATGCTTTTAAGTTCTGTTCAACATACAGTGCAAAAAGGAATAAATATTTCCTTAGTGGCCCCTGTTTGAATCACTTTCAAAAGTCTGGAAGAATGGGGAGTCGAGACTGGGAGTATAGCTTAATGGTAGAGCATGTGCTTAGCAACTATAAAAGCCCTGGATTCCATCCTTAGCAGCCATATGCAACACCCCTGACAACACACTGACACACAGACACACACACACACACACACACACACACACACACACACGAGATATATTTAAACCGAGTTCTGCAATGGAAATACTAGCCTAATGTACAAAGCAGGACAGAGTAGTCTTAATTCTTTTTAAGCACTTTAGCTCAGCCTCTAGATCAGTGGTTCTCAACAGTGGGTCATAGCCCCTTTGGGGGTCACACCTCAGATAAACTGCATATCAGATATTTATATTGCAATTCATAACAGTAGCAAAATTGTAGTTACAGTAGTAAATAGAGTAATATAATAAATATAATAATTATAAAGTAGCAATACATAATTTTATAGTTGAGGAAATGTATTAAAGGGCTGAAGTATTAGGTAGATTGAGAGTCACTACTCTAGCTGTAGTATAAGGAATACATGTGGTGTTGAGGTCACTAGCATTATTCAGCAATATTTTGTTCCCTTTCCTTTGGTTCTCCAGTTAGCTTTTAGCCACTCTGGCCAACTTGTGCAAAACGAATGAGTTCTGAGCTGTGGGTTACTCCATTGTGGTCTCGAAGAACTAGGGCTGGCTGTGAAGGAGTATGCCCCAACCTCTCTACCAAAAATGTGAATTCTTTGAACTTGGGGCTCCTACTGACAGGTGACTGGTGGCTGGCTATAACCAGTCGTGGAGCCTCAGAAAAGGCCAGGTAACTAACTGTGTCGTGAGATTCAGGTTTCAGCTTCTGTCACATCAAACCCATCCACAGCCAGCCTCTGGTCCAGAGAGATAGTGGAACATGAGGGAAATTTATAGTAGGTGTAGGAAAATCTGTAGGTCCCCAAGAGATAGAGACCACATCACTGCAAGGTACCTCTGGTGGACAAGGTGCTATCATAATGACACTGCCGCCTGGCATTCAAGGGATAGATTTTACTATCAGCAAAGGAAACAGACAGCATGGAGCAGAGCAGCAGGTTCTAAGATGGTGGGTCATGACCTTTTTGGAGGTCATATCAGCTATCCTGCATATCAGGTATTTATGTTACAATACATAGCAGTAGCAAAACTATAGTTATGAAGTAGCAATGAAATAATTTTATGGTTGGAGGTAAAAGCCAAGTGTTGGTTCACGAACAGACTTCTGAACGTGCTCAAAATAAAGGGAAGAATTTTCTATATCAGATGTCCAGATTTTTGGATCAAGCTGATTCATATACTATTTTCCGTGGAACAGCCAATGTGGTGATGGCTGATGGAGCCAAGAAATTGTTTAATGTATTTGTTCTTCCAACAGAAACACTCTGGTGAGGGTGGTATTCTAATTGATTGTCATCCTGTCCTGTGTCTTTTCTAGGCTGTATAAGTTGTGTGAGCCACCACCCCCAGCTGGAGAAGAATAAGCCTTCCCAAGAGCCAAGCAGGTAGAAGCTTCCAGATGCTGACCAAGTCAGTGTTCTCCACTGAAGAGAAAGAAATGCATATTTAAGATATAACCCCTCCCCCCATCCTGGTGTAAATAACTGATATTTGGTTCCCTTTGGATATTTATGTTGGAACTAGCAGTTCATTCAGACAACCCAGCCTCACACTCTATATACTGACGTTACAGATTCGTATGAGGGCAAAACTCACTGCTGGAACTTAGAGAAAAAATATACAGTGATAAAAGATTAACTGTTTTGGTCCCTTTCTCATTCATTAATTATATTGTATTTGTTTTTAACTTCCACACTGGACACATGTGATACTTAACAGTTCTTCCTGAAGAAGTCTGTCACTAAAAATGATGGGCACACTCGGGAAGCCAGCATACAGGAATGTTATGGACAGTGTCAATCGGGAGACACAGGTTTTCGTCTCCTGCCTGTACCACACAGAAGTGAATTTGTGGGAGGTAGGAAATTACACACCTCCGCTTCTTCTATGGCATCTTGGTAGTGAAGAAAAAAATGAAGATTTCTTGACTTCTTCCCTGTTGTCAAGACTGCTCTCTGTGTAAACATTCCAACAGGCAGGTGCTTCTGTAGATCTCTGCAGTGAGCCCTGAATACTGGCTGACTCCATTGATGGCTGTGGGCAGGGAGTTGCCAGGATTGGGGAAGGGAGAGGAGTGAGTGAGGAGGAAAAAAAAAATCTATTTGGAAACTCAACCTTGAACTAAGACAAGTTTAATTTTTGAAGTCTTCCTGTGAGATATCAGACACTTAAAAATATACCATCAGGAGTATTTTTCTATAAAGTTGTATGAATAAAATGTGAAAATAAATTTATATGTTGTACTTTGAAGGGCCTTTGGCAAAGAACCTTGATAATTTATGCAACTTAGGTATAAACTGTATTCATTCTAAAGTATATGCAATAAACATTCTGTGTCGCTATACTAATATTGTTTTTATTACCATGAGTAGATTAATATTGGTTTTAAATATATAATTTTAAAGATAATTAAAATATCCTCACTGTAATTATGATAGAGTTGTGTTTTGCTTAATGATAGAGATAAATTGTGCCCTTTGGTGATACTCTCGCTGTGCAAATGTCATGGGATACACTACACAATCTGAGAAGACAGATGGTCTATGGAACCATCTCCTATGGGCTGTCTGTCACTGACCCAAGGCCACATGCAGCACAGAAATGTGAATGGATACAGGCTAAACATATGAAATCCTTACCTTAACGTTATTCAGTTTTACTTTATAAACATTGTAATGACGTTCATTAAAAGCTGTCTTTACTGCCAGTGGAATATTTAATTAAAATATATTCCAAAGGCATGGAATATATGTGTTCTACTAGTTAAGGTGAAAATGAATGAACAGAGCACCTGATTTTTTTTAAATAAATTCGTGTGTGACTAACAATAGGAAAACCGACATCAGTTGCTAAAGAAAGGCCATAGTATTTTGAATTTAATAAAGATAGGACCTACATTTGCATATTTATATGACATACATGCATAACTTTCAGGAAATAAACATTCTTGCCACTATCAGCACACAAGACCGGTGCTCTGATAATTCAAACTGTTATCTGCTGAAGGTCTGAAGAGTGAGAACTGGTTGACTCACAGACCCTTTTCATCACTTTAATGTTCTTTATTCATCATCCCAGAAGGAAGCCTTCACAGGGCTAGGAAGTGTGGTTATAACTCATGGAGTATATAATTGGCCTTGGGACATTTATAAGTTCAATGCCATAATATATGGTATTCTTCTTTTGACATTGGATTATCAGAAGGCCTTGGGATTAGGACGCACTTGCTTTAATGATGCACTCTCCTCTGTGACCAGTGTTTATTGACAAGCTACTAAAAAGGTCTGCCTACTGTTCAGTATGTGGACATGGGCCACTGTGTGCCCACCAAGAGGTTTCATATCTCACCATGGGAACTGAATCGTGTACTCTCTTATAGGTTTCCATCATTGGTTTCTAGCATTACAAAGTTGAATTCTGTAATAATATAAATATTTGAGAACTAAAATTATAATCTATTTCTTACTCTGAGAGAAAGACTGACAGAGGATGAGAATTTCTGTTCCAGATTTACTTGACAGGTTGGTAATACTGAGTTTCTGGTAGATGTGCTCTCCTATAAACCAGCATCTGATCTGAAGACTCAAACTGCTTTGTTTCCATTTAACACACGTTTTTCTAGTGTCTTCAATCCCCTGTGTATCCAGTGGCCACTCTTCTTGCAGCAAGAGGTTCAATTGAAAAAGAAGGGGTTGTGGCTATGAATGTGGTTGACCATTTTCCTCGCACACGGGAAGCCACATGTTAGTTATGTTGGCTCTCCTTTAAGGCAGAGGTGGTTCACTCCTGAAATACTGGTACTCAGAGGAGACTGATGCAGTATGATTGCCAGATGTTTGAAGCCAGCCTGAGCTACAGAGTGATGCGAGGCCAGTCTTAATGGCAGTGTGAGATACTGCCTACGAAGGACAAAGATACCACATAAGAACAAACTGTTTCTGACTGTATTGATCGTAAGCTTGAGCAGTTCAATTCAGAATGATGTGAAGTTGACCCTATGCTACCTTTAACAGTGAAGAAAATCAATGAGAAACACATCCCAGAGTAGGTATTACCTAACCTTAAGCAAACAAAATCCTAGAGAGGAGGTATTAGCTAACTTAAGCTAATGCCCTGTCATGGGCACATAGATTTTATGGGTAATGCATGTATTTACTGTTTTGGAAGCTTTAGGTTGATAGTAAATTATTCCATGTAATTGAAAGCAAACACATTTCTCTCTCCAACAGTCACGTCTTCTCACACGAGTCCACACAGCTGTAGTCCTGTGGGAAACAATTCCACATGGCTTAGCTGGTGTTGTCTTACTGTCTATTTATAAAATCATAATATTGAAATTTCAAAGGAATAACCTTGCTTTAAGTCATTTGTCCTTTAAAAACTCTTTAACTAGTTCTAGACTCTTCACACTAGTGGTATTCAAAGCAAACTACTAAAGTTTAGCATTTGACCCAATTGCTTCTGAATTATGGGAAACTTTAGTTTTTAAAGTTTTGTTTTTATGTGAATTTTCCTGCAAGTCTATAGTTGTTCCTTAGCCAGCTATGATCTCATTGCCACGCATATGCATTAGTATGGATATATATACATTTATTAACCAGTGTTCAGAAATAACCTTGTCCTCTGTGTGAGGGCAGAAGATTCTGAAATGGTTTATCGGTTAAATAAAGTATACTCTACTTTCCTGTAGAAAATCTGTACTCTGGAGAAGGGGACATATAAGAGGCGTCTTTACCAAAAATGGTCCCAGCACAGTAATTTTACAAATGGCCACCATATTCCTTGGTGTTGCAATTCTATGCTGGTCATAGGGACCAATGTTTGCTTTCAGAATCCTTGGCTACTTTAATGATTTGCCATTGTCAACATTATTAATACTGATGTTGCCAAGCACTACCTGGCATGCAAGGAGGTCTACTGAAGGAGAGCCAGTCTGTACATCCTTTGATCGTGACCTAGTGAGAAGACTGCTTCACTTGGGACAGTTTCTTTTCTCACAGGGATAGATTCCTGAAGTATACTAAGTCTGCCATGTGATATACAGATACATGTATGCATGGGTCCTTATACATCATATATCAACTACTTTTTATTTTGTGATAATTAACTATAAAAGTTAGATTTGGGAGTTTTATTTATATAAAAATATGAGACAGAGTTTATTGGTGGCTAGAATGATGTCTTCTATAGACACAAGCGCTGTCTGGGTTTTAGTTGTGCCTGGTGGGTGTCTTGTAAGCTGTGTTATTTTGCTATTTATGTGAGCCACCTTTTCTTCCATTTTGTTTTTTTCTTTTTTTGGTTATCACTGTGAAAAATTGTCAGAGATGATTAACTTACAAAGAGGAATGGTTTATTTTACTCCAAGGTTGGAGGATCTAGGCCATAATCAGCTGAAGTCTGTGCAGTGAGTAGCACTTTGGTGAGTAGCAGCTCATGGCAGGAGAGGATCGCAGAACGAAACTCCTTTGATTCTTAGCAAAATCACAGAGATGAGGAAGAGATTGGAGCCCCACCGCCTTTCAAAGGCAGGTCTCCACAGACACAGGAACCTCACCAGGCTGGGAATTAAGTCCGTAACACAGATAGCTCTGGGAGACATACCAGGGTCCAAGCTGAATCACTGTCCAGTCAACCTTAAATCTACTTACCTGGTTTACCATTAAAAAAATAGTCTAATGGACATAAATGATATTTATTAAAAGTACTGGGAACACCAGAAAGAACAAGGATTGGGGAGTTCATTTTAGGCACACACAGTAATTACTGCCATCCACTCATTGTCATTCAACAGATGTTCTAAAAATTCACTTAATAAGACCCAATCAGTTGCATTGGATATAAATAGGATATATAATATTTTTAATCAGTGTATTGGATATATTTAATTAAAAAATCTTCACAGGGTCCTTATATCTCTCTATATACAATAGTCACTTGTATCTTTTACTTAAAATTCTATTATTCATAAGGTAAATCTATTATAATGCCATGTGTGTATTGTATATTATACAAGAATACTAAGTTGTTGAAATATTTAGAAAGCATACATTAAATACCTAATGCCTGAAGCAAATTTTTTAGTTTCAGAGGAATATATATTTTTGTAACTGCAAGTATATGAGTAGACCATAGGTTTTGCTTAAAAATATTTTTGTAAGCTTTCATTTGCACAATATTCATTTTTAATAGTAAAACATCAAACTGGTTCTCTAAAAGTAACTGTTTTGACTATGTCTATATTTAATATTATGTAACATTCAAAATTCAATGATGTTTCATCTAAATGTATTATTAGCCATTTTTTCCTTTGTAAAAGACCCATGTAACATAGTTTTGATCATTACATATTTTGTGTATGGTTAAATTTGTTAAAAGCTCATTTTGTATTTTATATCAGTTATTTTGTTCACATAAAAGATTGGAATAGTAATGTTATATGATAAATGTCAATAATAATAAAGCAAACTCTAGTATGAGCTTAAATTTGACCAATTCCTATTATATTCTTGGAAGGCAAAAAAAATTGAAAATAAAATGTTCACAAGATCAGGATGAGTAAAACAACCTAGGTATGAGACAAATCTTCCATGGTAACTGCTGAAAGGTTTACTATTACTCATAATGTTGGAAAGCTCTATTAGAAAACAAAATCACGTGGGGTCTTCTGAATTAACCAGCCAATCTCTCAGGGTTTCCATTCTTAATATGCATGAGCTGTGGTCATTTTAGTGGCTAAGGATGTCACAAATCTTGAGTGATTCTTAAGTCACTTAAGGTGATTGATTCAGGACACAAGCCAAGGAGATATCTATTAACAAGAGAAGTACACAATAATGAAAAGCAAGCAGGGTGAGAAGCTTGCACTGTGGACGTTCAAGGAATTTAGATTCAAATAACATCCATTTTTTGGGTGCCTACGGATCACTTCTCCACTGTTGACTAAAATGAACATTAGTAGCTAGACACACATAGATGACTATTGGCCATGGAGAGTTCATGGTCTCAGGAGAAGAAATATTGATAACAAAAGATTTGAAGAGAGAACATCAGGTAAGGAAAGGTGTTGAGCTTGCAGGATGAGTAAGAGGAGCAACAGAAGCAGTCATGTAACAGAAGCAGGTTCCCTGCTCTGTGGTGGAGATACACCAGGCACATTTGTGGGGTGGTGAGTGCTTGAGACTGGTCAGGATGAAGGTCTGGGCATGTGATTCTAAGGAGGTATAGATAGAGATTTGAGATGGCTCTGACAGGCATGTGGGTCTGATGGCTGTGTTGAAACTCCTAGGCAATGCATCATGAACTGAGTTGCTGAGATACATAAATGATGACTGATGTGAAATTATGGATTCCAAGTGATGAGTTTGAAGAGTGCACATGCTACTGATTGTGTTGGCCTGCTCAGAAATTTCAAAACGAAGATAATCTGAGGAAAGATATCAATAAGTAGACTTTCAGTGTCTGGGCACTGCTGGTGTATGCTAAGACAGCACATTTAATATAGTTTTAAGAATGAGAAAATACAAGCAACAAACAAAAGCCATCTATTTTAGAAAATGATGAAAAGCATCTGTGTTCCAGAAGGGAGCTATTAGCATGCTCTCCTTACTTCTTTGCCTTTTTCACACACACATACCACACACACACTTGTGAGGGTAATAGGTTTAAGAACTGAAACAGAATTGCTGTGGGCCTTGGGGCATGCCTGTAATCTTCATGCTTGGGAAGTTGAGACAGGAATGTAGCATGGTCAAAGTCAGCCTGGACTTCATAGTGAATCCAAGCCTAGCCCAGGAGACACAGTGAGGCATTCACTCAAAAATAAAATATAAGGATTGAGCCAGCCACTTGGGCCAGAGCAGGCCTGAGGCAGCAAACTCAACAGGAGCAGGACAAAGCCAGTGACCTAGGCTGGAGTGTGCCTGAGACAGCGAGCTCTGCTGGAGTGTATCCAGACCAGGGACATTTGCAGAGGCAGGACTAAGAGAGCAACCTGGGCTGGAGCAGGACTGAGAGAGAGAACTCCACAGAATCTGCACTGAGCCAGGGACCTAGGCTGGAGGTGGCCTGAGATAGTAAACTCTACGTGAGTGTGAGGAATCCAGACAAGGGAGTGGATTCAGACTAGGGACATTTACAGAAACAGGACTGAGCTAGTGACCTAGGTCAGAGCAGACCTGAGACAGTGAACTCTACTAGGGCAGGTACAGGAAGCAACCACTGAGGGAGTAGGCTGGAGCCACAGACCTCTGTGGGTCCAGGCATGAGTCTGGGACCTCTGAGGAATTAGGTCTGAGCCAGGACCTCTGCAGGTCTGTGCATGAGTCTGGAAACTCTGAGGGAGTAAGCAGGAACCAGAAACCTCTGGGACCAGGCCCAGGCATCGGTCTTGGACCTCTGAGGAAACAGATGGAAACCAGAAACCTCTGCGGGTCTGTGCGTGAGTTTGGGATCTCTGAGGAGTAGGCCTGAGCCAGATCCTTTGCAGGTCCATGCATGAGTCTGGGACCTCTGAGGGAAGAATCCTAAGCCACATCCTCTGCTGGTCTGGGCACACCCAAGTGTGGGTGTAGATTGGAGCCAGAGATCTTTTTGGGACCAACCCCAAGTCAGAGACCTCTGCAGGAACAGATCCAAACCAGGGACATTTACGAGCCAGCAACCTAGGCCAGAGCAGACCTGAGACAGGAAACTCAAATGAAGCTGAGCAAACCCTGGGAGCACTGAGCAACCTCCAGGAACATGGAGTTACCAATGGGGTAACTGGAATCTTGGTACTGACTGTACCATGAGGAGTAGCCATCTGAGTCTTGGATCCATTCATACCTGGAAGATTGACCACCAGAGTCACAGACAGCCCCAACTACACCAATTAGAGGAAAAGATGGGTAGACAAGGTAAGAATACACACAACACCACAAAGAGCAACATGACACCAGTAAAATCTAGTGACCCTACAACAGCAAGACTTGAACAATCAAATACAGATGAAGAAGAAGAAAATGACCTAAAAATAACTTCAGGAAAATGTTTGATGCACTTAAAGAGAAAATGAGAAATTCCCTAAAAGGAATGCAGGAAAAGACAAACAAAAAATTGGAAGATATCAACAAATCCCTTAAAGAAAACCAAGAAAAAGCAAACAAGCGTATAAAATAAACTATTCAAGACTTGAAAACTGAAATAGAGACAATAAAGAAAACACAAGCCAAGGGAATTATAGAAACAGAAATCATGAGAAAAATATCAGGAACCACAAACGCAAGCAGAATACAAGAGATGAAAGAGGGAATCTCAAGTGCTGAGGATACAATAGAGGAAATAGACTCATCAGTCAAAGAAAACATTAAATCTAACAAAAGGCTAACATAAAATATCCAGAAAATATGGTACACCATAAGAAGACCAAACTTAAGATAATAGGGATAGAAGAAGGAGAAGAAGTCAACTCAAAAGCACAGAAATTATATTTAACAAAATCATAGAAAAATACTTTCCCAACCTAAAGAAATATATGCCTATGAAGATTCAAGAAGCTTACAGAACACCAAATAGACTGGATCAATAAAAAAGTCCCCTTGTCACATAATAATCAAAACACTAAATATATACAATAAAAAAAGAATATTAAGAGCTGCAAGGGGAAAAGGCAAAACTATCAGAATTACACCTAACTTTTCAATGGAAACAATGAAAGCCAGAAGGTCCTGGTCAAGTATTATGCAGACACTAAGAGATCATACATGTCAGTTTAAACCATACATTAAACCTCACACACTAATAATGGGAGACTTCAACACTCTCCTCTCATTACTGCCTTTATCCAAACTAACCAGAAGGCAGAGAGAGAATATCCAAATTAACAAAATCAGAAAGGAAAAGGGGTCATAAAAACAGACATTGAGAAAATCCAGAGAATCATCAGGTCATATTTTGTAAAACTGTACTCCACAAAATTGGAAAACTTAAAGGAAATGAACAACTTTCTGGATAAATATCATTTATTAAATCAAGACCAGATCAGCAAATTAAACAGACCTATACCTGCTAAAGAAATAGAAACAGTCATCAAAAGTCTCCCAACCAGATGGTTTCAGCTCAAAATTCTACAAGATTTTCAAAGAACTAATACCAATAATCCTCAAAATGGTCCACACAATAGAAACAGAAGGAACATTGAAAAAACTCTTTTTATGAGGCTACAATTACCGTGATACTCGAACCACAGAAAGACATTACTAAAAAAGAGAATTACAAACCAATATCACTCATGAACATTGATGCAAAAATATTCAATAAACTTGCAAATCAAATCCAAGAACACATCAGAACCATCATCCACCATGATCAAGTCAGCTTTATCCCAGAGACTCAGGGATGGTTCAACATACTAAAATCTATCAACATAATCTACCAAATAAACTAACTGAAAAATAAAAACCACATGAATATCTAATTAGATGCCAAAAAAGCTTTGAAAAAATATTACATCCCTACATGATAAAGATCATGGAGAGAGCAGGGATACAAGAAACATACCTAAACAAAACAAAAGCAATATAGAGCAAACCAACAGTCAACATTAAACTAAATAGAAAGAAACTCACAGCGATCTCACTGAAATCAGGAAGAAGACATGGTTGTCTACTCTCCATATCTATTCAATATAGCTTTTGAGGTTCTAGCTAAACAATAAGACAACAAAAGGAGATCAAGGGGATACAAATTGAAAAAGAAGAAGTCAAACTCTCACTGTTTGCTGATGATATGACAGTTTACATGAGTGACCCCAAAAATTCTACCAAGGAACTTTTATAACTCATCAACGCTTTCAGTAATGTGGCAGGTTACAAGATTAACTCAAAAAATCACTAGCTCTCCTTTACACAGATGATAAATGGGCTGAGAAAAAAAATCAGAGAAACATCACCCTTCACAATAGCCACAAATAGCACAAAATGTCTTGGAGTAACTCTAACCAAACAAGTGGAAGACTTTTATGGCAAGAACATTACATTTTTAAAGAAAGAAAATGAAGAAGACACCAGAAAATGAAGAAAGATCTCCCATGCTCTTTGGTAGGCAGAATTAACATAGTATAAATGGCAATCTTACCATAAGCAATCTACAAATTCAATGCAATGCCCATAAAAATCCCAGCAAAATTCTTTACAAACCTCAAAAGAACAATATTCACCTTCATATGGAAAAGCAAAATACTCAAGATAGCCCAAACAATTTTGTACAAGATGTCTGGAGGCATCACAATTCCTGACTTCAAACTCTACTGCAGAGCTACAGTACTAAAAACATCCTGGTACTTGCATAAAAACAGACAGTAGGACCAATGAAACCAAATCAAAGACCCGGATATTAATCCACATACCTTCAAACACCTAATTTTTGACAAAGGAGCAAAAAATATCAAATGGAAAAAAGAAAACATATTTAACAAATGGTGCTGATATAACTGGATAGCAACATGT